TGTACATTTAACTTTTCCGGCCTCTTATTGCCTTATTGCTACCTGTCCCAACAATGTGTATCTCTCATGAAATCCAAAATGAGCCAATATTTGGCATGACATTTCAAAATGTCTCACTTTCAACATTTGATATGTTATCTATATTCTATTGTGAATAAAATATAAGTTTATGTGATTTGTAAATTATTCCATTCCTTTTTTACTCACAATTTGTACAGTGTCCCAACTTTTTTGGAATTGGGTTTGTAGAAGGAATAACTCTACACACACAAAATTAAATTGATCCAACACAAATTTAATACACAAACATGCCTGGAAAAAACTAAAATAAACATTGAATTGAAAAACACTGATGTCGGCGCAAATAGCCTCGTGGGCAGCGCACCAACATATAGCGTTGTTGCACTTTGGGGCATCACGAGTTTGACTCTCAACTTGTGCACTTTTCCTAATCCCATCCCACCTCAATTCCTGTCTGAAATACTGTCCTATATAATAAAGGTAAAAATGCCAAAAATAAATCTTAAAAAAAACACTGACTAGGTTTGGTACAACCATTTAGTGAATTAGTGTCACAGAATACAATTGGTATACAAATATTAATTGGCATTCATAACAAATAGAATGTTATTACATGTTTACTCAGCAGCCATATTTGCAATGCCTAAGGGCAGCTATTTTGGACATGCAAGTCCTATCTACTCAAATGGTGAAATCCTGAAATCTAAAAAAACTGCTTGCCACACTGATATTTAAATAACATATTTCTAATCAGCAACAAAATCTGGCATGAAATGTCCTATAAAAGTTGTTTCGTATGCTCAAATAGCATGAAAAAAAGCTTATATTCCAGACTGGCCCAGCCAGCATGCAAGTGCGTCTCAGGACACTGACTGTTGCTATGGCAAATCTTAATGGCAGCTACAGCGACGCATGACTTTACTAACTGCCAATTGGCTCTTTTATTCAGAAGGAGGGACTTATTCCACCATATTGCATGTTGCACTTTCTCCCATTCGTAGCAATGTGAGTGCACTGTCTTGGTATTTCTATAGTGTTTGTTATGGGCAATTTAAGATTTTCATCACATGGCTCAACCTGATCTCATGGAAATGCGTACATTTTTGACAAGGTGGCTAATTTGTATGAACTCACTCGTACGAATTTGTGAAAAACTGTATGTATTTTATGAGGTGGCAAATTCGTAGGAATTTGTACGAAGGACCACACCTAACCCCGCCCCTAAAATTAACTGACAGAAATTAAACAAAATCGGTACGAGTAAGGTCGAGTAAGGTACGAATTTGTTCAAATTAGCTACCTCGTAAAATACGTACAAATTGGCCATAAGACAGCGTTGCATGGCTATACTGCCCTACAAGGCAAAAAGTAGTAACCTTTTGTCAAAACTGAGTTTTGAGATTAAAATCAGGACTATCTCTATACTGTGGCATACGGTTTGCAAATTGAAAATTTAAATTGAACTTTGAAGGCATTATCTCAGTACTTACAAGGCTTTGCCTTTGCTCAGCAGTATACGCAATGAAATTATTGATAATTTACACATACATGCTCAGACCGAATTACTTAAATTCACCCTAAGAATGTCTTCATGAAGTTCTTTCCTAAATTTCAGCATTTCCTCCAGGTTCTTGTTCTGCAGAGTTTCTTGTAAAGAGGTTAGTGTGGCTTTTTTTGGTAGTGTGAAAATGGTTCCACTATCCAGTGCCTTCAGCATCCCCAGTGATATCACAAATGAATCCTTTAGATTGGAGCACACTGTGAAAATGCAGGTGTTCCACAAACTACACATAGATGTGTCTCCTGAGAACCTGACCTTCTCAGGAAACAAACCCCAGAGTCCAACACAGTCCTCCAGATTAATCTTAAACAAACTCAATGCTTTCATATGAGCAGGACTGGATACACTTTTCTTCAGATCATCTTTAACACCAAAAACCACAGTCACAAAACCCGTTTTTCCATCCAGGTTTACAGACAAAGAGTGTATGAAGGTGTCACTTGGCACTGTTAGATCCGTGCCTATCCAGCAGCCGCTGATGATAGATCTACTTCCGACTTTAACTCTAGCATCCAGTCTGGAGTATTCCACAACACTGCCCTGGGATACAGTCACACTGGGATGCAGGATGCTGTGCGACACGCAAACTCTAGTTTTCTCTGATGGCTCCAAGTCGCACACACTGAAGGCAGCAGAGAGCAGACCGAGTTCTGCTCTGAGACAGGGGTCAGCGGTGAAGTGGAACGAGTATTCCTCTGTGGTGCCGACATGATAAAACTTGGAGTTGTTCAACAGGATGACGCTGAGTACTGTGCCTTTGAGACGATGGAAAATCTTTCTGCGAATCTCAACGAGACCGTTTTCCTTCTTTGTGACGTTGGCAGTGTTTTCCGTGTAATCCACAGTAGCTCTTCGCCCCAGGGCTTGAAGAAAGTCTCCATAAGCATCGATTTCACATGTCAGAGGGCTCATTTCACTGAACAAGGTCAGCAGGGTCATGGCAGTCCCATAATCAAAATAGTAAGTGCTGTCAGTGTAAACAAACTCCTCTCCTTCCCTCTTGCATACGGCGTTGCATTTGAACATCTTTTCAATGCTTGGTTTGTGCAGAAATTGAGAGCAAGTTCTGTATTCCATATCACAAATTCTGGGCATCTCTGCTGGTTCGAGAACAAAAACTCCATGAGTGGTACCAATAGAGAGAGGGGAGGGATGTGCTAAGGCAGTAAAACCTGACTTATCAAACACCACATTCTCTTGGTCAGAGACACTGTAGAGCTCTATATCATCAGCACAGGTAACCAGCATTCCCGGCTTCATGTGTGAGGGGAAATCCACATACATTGCAAGTTTGAGCTCCAGCATTTGATATAAAGGGTTTCCCAGGGGCACAGCTGTGAGTATTTTACCCAGGGCACTGGCACTGGGTAAACGTTGACTGAATCCTCCTGCACATGTAACAAAATGCATAGATAAATAAGTACATTTGAACAAAAGCATACAAATGAATATATCCAAGATTTCTATTTCAAATAATTGCTGTTCTTTTTGTTCATGCCTTCAACTTGTTCATGCCTTTATCACCAGCAGGGTGAACTATTGTAATGGTCTCCTCTGGCCTTCCCAAGAAGACTATTAGACAGCTGCAGCTCATCCAGGACGCTGCTGGCAGGATTCTGACTAGAACCAGAAAATCTGAGCATATCACACCAGTCCTCAGGTCCTTACACTGGCTTCCAGTTACATTTAGGATTGATTTTAAAGTACTTTTACTCTTTTATAAATCACTCAATGACCTAGGACCTAAATACATTGCAGATATGCTCACCGAATATAAACCTAACAGACCACTTAGATCATTAGGATCGAGACCGTTAGAAATACCAAGGGTTCACACAAAACAAGGGCAGTCAGCTTTTAGCTATTATGCCGCCCGCAGCTGGAACCAGCTTTCAGAAGAGATCAGATGTGCTAAAACATTAGCCACATTTAAATCCAGACTAAAAACTCATCTGTTTAGCTGTGCATTTATTGAATGAGCACTGTGCCGAACTGATTGCACTGTATTTTATGTATAATCATTTTCTATTTTAACTGTTTTAAATTAACTTTAAATCAATTTTTTAAATCATTTTAAAAGTGTATAAATTCCTTGTTTTATTGTGGTGATTATTTGTTATGATTATTTTACTTCCTTTTATGTAAAGCACTTTGAATTACCATTGTGTATGAAATGTGCAATATAAATAAACTTGCCTTGCCTTGCCTTTTTAACTTTCTATTCATCATAGAATCCTGAAAAGAAATGTAACAAGGTTTCCACAAAAATATTAAGCAGCGTAACTGTCTTCGTACATTGATAATTATAAAAGAAAACATTTCTTGAGCACCAAATGAGCACATTTGAATGATTTCTAAAGAATCATGTGACACTGAAGACTGGAGTAATGTACGCTGAAAATTGATCTTTGACATCACAGTAATAAATTACATTTACATTACATTCTAAAAATATATCTAAAATATATATATATCAGATAGTCAATAGTCATTTCGAATTGTAATAATGTGTCACAGTGTATTTTATTTATTTGTTTTACTGTATTTTTCAATAAATAAATGCAGCCTTGGTAAGCATAAGAGATTTCTTTCAAAAACATGTAAAAAATCTTTCTGACCCCAAACTTTCGAATAGTACATTACAGCTCATTAACAATAAACAAAATGCATGAATGAGGTGATGAATATTATATAGATTAATACAGTACCTGCATGAATAAGGATGACTTTACATCCTGACAGTGACTTGCCATATTTATCATGTAGACACTGCAGTGAATGTAAAGTTGATCCACCATTACCTGTATGTTCAGATGAAGAAACAACTCTTAAAAATGTACATTAAATACAATTTTTAAAATATATTTTTATATATCTCACCAATCTTGCATCCTGGAGGATCTGCAAACACATGATAATTGATGCCAAGAGGCAGTTCTTTCCTCTCCAGTTTCTCAGTGATCTGAATTTCATAAGCAGACCTCTGGTCCTCATCCACTGCAGAGATGACCACAAGATCCCAGAGTTCATCAGACTGAACTTCTTTACCTGTGGATGGGAAATAAATAACTTTTACGCTTCTTATAGTTATAGAAACCCTCATGAGCAGGAATTTTACAGGACTGAAGCTAAACATTTTCTTATTTTTGTAAAAAATATTTTTTATTAAAAATGTTAACTAAAACCAGTTTTATTGTTTTAGCCCTTAACATGTCAGATAGTAATCAGCAAGAAATACTTTTGTTCTTAAAGGGTTAGTTCACCCAAAATGAAAATTAGCCCACAAATTACTCACCCTCAAGTCACCCTAGGTGTATATGACTTTCTTCTTTTAGACGAATCCAGTTGGAGTTATATTAAAAATTGTCTTTGATCTTTCAATCTGTTTAATGCCACTCAGCGGGTGTTGCATGCATCCGTCCAAAAGGAGTTAAATAAAAAGCACCCATCCATAAAAAAAGTGTCTCACACGGCTCCAGGGGGGTGAACAAAGGCGTTCTGTAGTGAATCGATGCATTTTTGTAAGAAAAATATCCATATTCAAAACTTAATAATCACTTTAATCTAGCTTGCGCTCACTGTTGTAAATGGAAGCAGCTCCGGGCGGATGACGTATGAGGTCGGCTTTACGCATGTGCCGCTCAGAAGTGACGCACGCGGTAACGCAGCGGAGAGATCAAAACAAAACAACGGTCACTTATTAGAAGTACAAAACGAGGATTTGTAAAGAAGAATGTCGGAGGATTTTGATATAAGCCAAGAGGAGATTGGTTTTCCTTTGCTAAAGTAAGGAAACTTTGCTTCCTTTGCTCCTGTTAACAAACGTTGGTTTTCACGACTCACCGGCACGTGCGCAACGCTGAACTCATACGTCATGCTCCCGGAACTGCTTCCGTGTACAACTGTTGGCGCAAGCTACATTAAAGTGATTATTACATTTTGAATATGGATATTTTTCTTACAAAAACGCATCGATTTGCTACAGGAGGCCTTTGTTCACCCCCCGGAGCCGTGTGAGACACTTTTTTTTTATGGATGGGCGCTTTTTATTGAACTGCTTGTGTTACAGCACAACACATTTTTGTTTTTTTTCTCTCTCATATCGTCCCCTTGTTTCTAGGCCAACATATCTGCATGGCCAACATTGTCTTTCTGCTGCAAATGTGGGTGCAATTTCTGATGTATACTGCTTGTCAACGTTTAAGTGGACATATTACATCAAAAATTCTATTTAAAACAAAAATATGAGTTTTTTATATGATTTTGGAGTACATATATTTACTGAAACCATGACTATTTTATTTTTTTTTTCATTAAAATTCGTAATAAATGAAGCAAATAACTCAACCCTGTCACAAGTTTACAACCCCGTAACAATGAGACATTTTTTGTGGTTGTGGTTTTTCACTCAAAATGGCCACTGCTCCTCATATAGTGTAGGAAAGTAGACTATATATGGCAGCAATCAAATAAGTACATTGTATATACTTATGGATTAAAATAAAATGTTGAAGTAATAATTTAAAAGTAATAAAGTAATAATTTACCATCTTAATTTAATGTGATGGGTTTGAGTTGTTAAGCTTGACAGTACCCTCCCTGACTATAACATGCCTCAAAAATATGAATAAAAAGTATGATACTACTAACCATTTTCTGCACCACTATTAAAGAGACCTGAATGATGTCTTTACTGGGAAATCATGTCACATATGAGTGGAATCTAAATTATTCCGGGCGCAGAATGGTTAGTGTGACAGGGTTGAGCTCAGACTGAGGGGCATAAAGTGTAAAGTCTGTTTTTATAAAATGTTTTGCTTTCTTTTTTTTTAAAAATTTTTTACAAGAAAGGAACACACATAAATGCTTACATTGTTGCCAAAAATCACAAACACTATGCACATTTTTAAAATAATTTTCTAAGTACAAACTCAGTGAAGTGCCTCAGGGACATGACAAAATGCTTGGTTTAAGATAGATATAAGACATTATTTTATGCTAAAACAAATATTAAAATGCAATAATTATTTTTATTCGTTATAAAGGGCATCCCAAAGTTTTGTGAAAAGCTTCTAACAATTAATTTTGGTGACCCACCACTTTAGAATCTCTGGGGGAATGAAATATTACCGAATCCCAGGAATGACCCAAATAATGTCACGCAAGTGAATATTCTCAGTGAAAAGTACCACAGTATTACCATGTTTATTTGGGCATGTAGCTAACGTTACCCTATGCCATGGTAAGTGACTGAACTATGAAGTAAATACCATGGTATGTGAATGAGACAATCGCTCAGCAGCAGCAGCAATCTCAGCAATCAACAAGTCAAGCAGCTGTAAAAAAAAAAAAAATAGAAAAGTTTAAAGATGTAACGGAAACGTTACCTCTTATTTGTTTGAATTTTTCAAGTTTGTTCTTGGTGGATTTTTGCAGATGGATGTTTAAACGCTCTGCCATTATGAGATTCAGCAAGTCTTTTATCTGTCTAAAACGCTACACTAATATCCGACACTTTTATTCAACCACAAATATGAACCAACAACAGGACATCGATAACAGATGTACGGAAACATGTGCGACAATGATCAGTTATATTGGCGTTTTCAAAAAATTACTTAAAACCATCAGATATATTCCGTAACTTGTGTTCACATAAGCACTTCCGGGTTCCAGTCACGTGACAAACAAACTCTGACGTCCATACATATTACTCTCCATCAAATAATATACATTAAACTGAATTAATTATTCACAATTTTCAACCTCCCGACACAAAGCAGTATTCGTTTTATTTGTAAAGGGGTGTGAGTGGTTTTCAAGAAAATGTTTGGAGAAGCTTCTTGTATTTCCAACTAATGTTGTCATAGCAACTTTTATCTTGGACTGTTCGGCCAACAAAAGAATACAGTTGAGAGCCAGGCACAAAACCATGGTAAGAACAAACAAAAGAGCAGATTGAGAATTTGAACAGGTTAGTTTTTGTGAAATATGCAAATATGTATTAGGAATAATACTATAATCATGAACTGTTGACAGTAGTCCTACCTCAGGATGTTTTTGTGATATGAAAAAAATGTTTCCTTCAAAAAATGGAAGAGATGAATTTCACAAAGATGTGAAAATGGATTCTATGGAGGGATACTGGGCCTATTTGGTAAACTGCTCTCAGTCTCTGATCCTGGATCATGGCGACTGGACATCAGAGAGTGAGAAAGACCTGAAGGACATTTTGATGGTCAGATTGAGCAGTTTGCTTTTAAAGAGTCTGGATCAGATTGGATCTTGCAGAGCACTGCGAATTTGCATCTTGGCTGACAACTTTCTGACTAGGATCGAAGCTCTGATGGAATGCACTCGCTTGGTGAAGTTAGATCTGAAAGGAAATCAGGTATTTATTTCATTTGCTTCCCTGAATATTTGATTCATTTTAAGGAGAACAAATCACTAACAGTCATCTTTCTGCTCAGATTGTTCAGCTCCCTGATGCTTCATGTTGGAGCCATCTGACAGAATTGCAACTTCTATATCTACACGACAATAACATATCAACTTGGAACAATATTAAAGGCCTGTCTGGCTGTTTAAACCTGACTGCTTTAACTCTCTATGACACCCCGCTCAGTTTAAAGAAGAGCTACAGGCACTGTCTGGTCAACAGCATATGGTCACTGAAGGCCTTGGACAACTTTGTTATTTCTGATGAGGAAATCATTCAAAAGTGGTCTCTTCCTATTCGTTTCAAAGCCATGAATCAACACCTTTGTGTCAGTTTGTACCCATCTACAAAGTCGGTTAGTGCTCATTATTTATCCTAGTCTTCTTTGTTGTGTTTACTGCTATGTCTAAGTGGGGGGAAAAACTTATTTGGATGTTTTCTTTTTCCTCAGGATTCATTTGAGACAGAGATGAAAGCGACATATAAAATAATCTCTGAGATAAACAGGATTCAGGCCATTTATTCCCCTACACTTATTATACAGCGCTGGATTCGAGGTCATTTAATTAGAAAAAGTCTTGGGTAAATATGCTGCATTTTTTTATATTTTGATATTTGCTATGGAACATTTTTTTGCTTATTTTGTTCACTATAAGGTACAAAACCGTTACTTATTGATAAAGATATTATTTGGGATTTTTGGTTTTAAGAGGATTTCTTCATTGTCAGGCTTTGCAGTACCAAGAAACAGATAACGTCTGAGAAACCATTCATTTCCATACCTTTGAGCACAGAAATTGACCAGGTACAATCCCAGTCTCAGAAAACCATGGAGGAGGACACAGATGACCACCCTGAACAAGTATGTACTATATTTGACTGATACACACTACAATTCAGAGGTTTGGGTTTTTTAAAATGTTATATTTGATCATTTATTGGATCAAAAATACAATAAAAACAGTAACATTGTGAAATGTTATTACAATTTAAAATAATAAATATTGTCTATCTATCTATCTATATATATATTAAGATGTATGATGGCAGTGTCACATGATCCTTCAGAAATCATTCTAATATGTTGATTTGATGTTCAAGAAACATTTCTTATTATTATTGTTGAAAACAGTGCTGCTTTTTTTCAAGATTCTTTGATGAATAAAAAGTTTAAAAATGTTTATTTAAAATTTAATTTAAATAGAAAAGTTTTGTAACATATTATATATATATATATATATATATATATATATATATATATATATATATATATATATATATATATATTTGGATGCACGTCTTGCCGCATTATTTCTCACTAATAACCTCATTATTTCTCACTAACTGAAGCAGCATATGCCCTTGATACGAATTCTAAAAGTGACTCATGTTTAACTGTCAACTTTAGCTTTGAATCCGTGGCGGAAGGAAGTAGTTCCGCACAAAAGAGGGTTTTATTAAGCACTCCGTTGTTTCTTGTTTAATTACACACATGTTCCGTCGAACTGTTGTATGAACGCAATATCACTCTCGTACTCGATTGATACCGGCTCTATATCAGCGGCTGTGATTGCCTGCGGCCTCGTGCCTCTGGCCTAATCACAGCCATGCTGATATAGAGCCGGTATCGCTCGAGTACGAGAGTGAATGCTTTAAAAATATATATTTTCGTATTTTAGAATTTTATATATAAAATACGAAAAAAATGTATGTGCTCATGTGCAGTATTCTAAAATGTAGTTATATGTTTCTCAGCCAAAGGAAAATGAAGAGATAGATACAGAGATCCAAAGACTTCATGTGAACCTTGATAAGCTGATGCAAACTGGCTACCCAGAGGTAACGTGACAGTATAAAATATAAACACTGTACACTCTAAAAAATTATGTGTTGGCTCAACAAAACAAAACAAAATTATGCAACTGTTTGGATTAATCTTTTTACGTCATGACAACTTATAATGAAATTATGTTCAACCAAAAAGTACATCGAGAGGAACAGTCATTGCTGCTTACATTCATGTAGTCTACTCTTCAGCACAAACTGTAATGACAAAAACCGACAAAACATAACAAAAGCTCTTTTAAATGTCAAATATAATAGCATTAACCACTAACAGGTCTTTCCCTTAAATAAAAAAACACATACAATTCTGCTTAATTTTAACAGTCATTCTCCTTATCTAGTCCTATGCAAAGCATGCTGGGAACTAGAACTCTACTGCCCAAAAAGACAATTTTATTAATTTACTACAACTACATTTTTTAAGACAATCAGTCAACACAGAAATTTGAGTTTACATACAATATTAAGTTCATATTAACAACATTATGTCAACAAAACTCATTAAAATAATGTTGGCAACTTAGAAGGTTTAATGAAATAAACAAGTTTTTTTTATTTATTTTTTTTACTTGCAACCATGGGTTTATTTATTGTGGTAACAGGTGCATTGAAATTTTTGCATTACATTTTTTAGGGTGCATCTAAATGTAGACTCTTCATTTGACATGCATTTGTAACTTTTATACAGGTTATACAGGATGCTGCAAGTGTTCACTCAAATGACAGTCAGCAAGACATAAAAGCACCATGCAACACCCCTCAGTGCAGTCTAAGTCTGAAATCTGAGGCCCATCTAAACACGCTTGACCAAGGTACAACAGAAGTTTTGACTTTAGTTAGCTCTCTTAAGAGACTGATTTGATTCACTGAATGCTTCTGTTCTGCTTGTCTAGATATCAGTGTGACTGTTGATATCTGTAATGAAGAAATTGAAGAAGGAACCTTTCGTGTTTTGGGCCTGAAAGCTTTGGTCCACCAGAGTGAGCCACTGAGTGACATGTTGTGGTCCCGTAAAGCTGCAGGACAGGACGTACGTGAGGCCATCAGCCATTTTCACACTCAGAGACCAGGTCTACAGCCGCATTCTTCTGCCATTACTTCAGGGAAGCGTCTGATTGGTTGTTGCCATGACAAAATCAGCCTCACCCCCTTCAAAGTCATTGAAAGAGTCCATCAAGCATTTGATAAAGCCAGAATGCAGAGACACCTTGTAGAGAAGGTAACTGAGCGCCAGATTGATCGTGAAGTAGCCAAGGGTCGCCGAGACATCTTTAGAGAAGCTCGCAGGACAGAAGTACGTCTGCGGCAGGAGCGGGAAAGGGTGGATATGGAGAAAACTCTTACTCTACAGAGAGCCAAGCTGGAGCAGGACATCCATCATGCACGTCAGAAACATGCCCAGTTTTTGGAAGAGAAGAGGATGAGGATCCAGGAGCAAGAGATGGTTTGCAATTTCAGCCAACAGCACAACTCTCTAGCGAGGGCCGTGCTTAGATACCACGCATGGAAACGTGGTAACCAGCAATAAATGCATGAATGTTTTTAATCAAACTCTCGGTTTAACATGACATTAACATATTGGTTAGTTAGAACCCTTTGTGTACAGTAGCTTCAAAAGCAGAATATACCGCACTATATAGAATAGTATAATATATTACAGTACTTACCAGAAGATGTCTGCAAAGATCATATTATAGACACTGAGATCTGCTCCTCTTTTCAAAATCCAAAATATTACATAACAGGAATCCAAAAATACTCCCCTACACAACCACCCCCATCCATCAGGCACAAGTATTAAGAATCTAGTAGCCACCAACTTTACATAACAAATAAGTCCACATTATCTGGGTCATTATTACACTCTTTACATAAGCACCATGTAAGAAAGATTAACTGAATGGCATGTTTTAGCAGGATTCAAATAACAATATTTTTTGCTATATTTCTCAACAGTTGCAGTATAACAGGAGGATCTTTAAATTATCTTTAAATGCCAAGGCAAGCTTAGCTTGACATTGAATAAAGATGAGCTACACTAAATTGCTACATGTAACAGTATTTATTTAAAAAGGTGCTGTCCAATGAATCAGCAGTGTGAAAATCAAGGCATTGTTCTGGCCTGACATAAAAAGGTAGAGTCTAACATCCGTCACTAACTAGACTGAAAATCTATGCAAACGTGATTGTGCATGTCCCAGGAAGTACCACATATCGACCTTGCCACCCATTTGAAGTTTATTAGTTTTATTTTGAGTACTTTGAGTCATTGAGAATGACAGCAGTGCAATATACTAGCTTAGTCTTCTGGAAGTGGCATCTGTAGAGAGTTTTACATTATTGCACATGACCCTAAATTCTAGCTTAAAAGGTGAAATATCTAAAAAAAAAAGAGAGAGAATTATTATCGTTTATAAATATTAATATTCATCAAGGTTACATTACAAAATAATTCTGTATATATTTATATATTATATATATATATGGAGTTTCAACAACAACAAAAAAGACTCCCCATATAACAATGCTAATGCCTTTCTCTAAATTCAAAAAGGTACAAAACTGCCACAGGGACGGTACCCTAAGGTGGTACCATTACATTTAAAGGGGTCATATGATGCGATTTCAAGTTTTCCTTTCTCTTTGAAGTGTTACAAGCTGATTGTGCATAGATAAGATCCCTGAAGTTGCAAAGACTAAAATCTCAAAACCAAAGAGATATTCTTTATCAAAGTTAAGGCTCTGCCACACCCCCCTAAAACGGCTCGTTCTAACACACCCCCACATATCTACCTCACTATGTGGAAATATTAGCATAATGTGGCCTAAATGTTCACGCAAAGAAAGAAGGCGTGGTTTCAGTAATCACAGTTAGTGTTGAAGCAGCCATGTGAGGGAGACCCTGTGTGTTTCTAGGCGAAAACAGCAATGCATTTTATGGACGACCGTTTCGTGAACCTAGGAGAGGAGGTAATTCTGACTTTGCTATGACAATCTGGCGCTTCTGAATCAGCTACTGTTTT